GAGGGAGAAGATAGAAAAAATACCTCTTGAGTCCTATGTTTATTGCCTGTTTGATGAAATAATCTGTATACTGAACCCACATATCACCCAATTTACCTATATAACAAACCTGTACATGTACCCACAGACCTAAAGTAAAAGTTAAAAAAAAAATAAATGTAAAAGAACATAACAACTATGGTAATTTTGAAATGCATAAACTATCACACACAAGAGAAAAACTGAGTCTTCGTCTATAGAAGTCAGAAAAACTGTTTTAGATAAGCTCATCTCTGATCTGAGAATTAAAGGATATGTGAGAATTAGCCAGGCACTCAAGATTTATTTCAAACAATAGATGTTAGTGAGGTTCCAGAGGAAAGGGAACACTTATACACTGTTGGTGGAAATGAGAAATAGTTCAGCCACTGTATAAAACAGTTTGGAGATTTCTCAAAGAACTTAAAATGAAGCTACCATTTGACCCAGCAGTGGTACCCATTAATTATGCACTCATTATGTTCATTGTAGCACCATTCACAACAGCAAGGACATGGAATCAACCTAATTCATAATATAATTATGTACCCATTAATTATATACCCATTATGTTCATTGCAGCACTATTCACAATAGCAAGGACATGGAATCAACCTAAGTGCCTGTCAACAGGGGATTGGATAAAGAACATGTGGTACATATACACTGTGGAGTACCATGCAGCCATAAAAAGCAACATCATTCCCTTTACAGCAACATGGATGAAGCTGGAGGACATTATCTTAAGCAAATTAATGAAGGAACAGAAAACCAAACACTATATGTTCTTACTTTTAAATGGAAACTAAACATTCAATACACATGATTGTAAATATAGAAACCATAGACACTGGGGCTTACTAGATGGGTAAAGGAGGGAGCAGGGCATAGGCTGAACCACCACCTGTTGGATACTATGCTTATGGCCTGAGTGATGGGATCATTGGGACCTGAAGTCTCAGCATCACACAATTTACCCATATAACAAACCTCCACAACATGTACCCTTTAATCTGTAATAAAAGTTGAAATTTTAAAAACTATTTTTGACAAAAAGGGAATAAAGAAGTTCATTTCAGATGAAGAAAGAGCTTTTGCAAAGGTATACCTGCGCAGTTCAGCCTGGTGTATTCAGGGGATTATAAACAGTTCAGTTGGGCTACAGTCTAAAGTGCTGGAGTGAATTTGGCAGATTTGGCCAGATGTTTAGTTGGAGAACCATTTCTGAAGGGCTTTGTGTGTTGTGTGAAGAATGTCGTACATGGTCACGCTGGTGGCAATGTGAGAAATAGGATAAGGGAAAGGGAAAAGAAGCTAGTAAGCCATGGAAAGGGCATTGCATTTATTTCTAGGCAATGGATGATGAGGGTCTGCACCGAGGTAGAAGCAATGAGGAGGGAGAGGGGTAGCTGAATCAGATAAATATGTGTGTATTAGGAATTGTGATGCTGATGGCTTTAGGTGAATGACCTTGCTCTAAAGAGACACCCCCTTCCCCAACAAATTCATGACTCCTTCTTGGAGCAACCCACATATAGTGACTTGGTTACAAGGAAAGTGGGAATAAGACCTGTGACCTCACCTTGGGATGGCACTAAAGGACCATCCAGTTGCAGAGCTCCCTCTGGGGTGAGTGAGGGACTTTGTTGAGGGTGCAGCACAGCCCAACTTCTCCCTCTGCCCCATTTCCCTCTGCTCCTGTGCAAGGGCAGTTTCCAGAAACATTTTCACACACGAATTTCCCCCTCAAAATCTGCTTGTGAAGAACACAAACTATGACAAAAAGATATAGAAGTAATAGATTTGGAAACTGATTTAATAAGAGGCATAGCAAAAAGGAGGAACCTAGCATGGTTGTTCCAGTCACTGAGATAGAGACACAGGGTGCGGCCAAAGTGGGCAAGTGTGAGGATGAAGAGACAATAATTCAGGAATAAACTGAGTTTGACTTGCCTGTGGAGCATTCTACTGGGAGTGTCCAGTAGACAGTTGAATTTTCCAGGCAGGAACTTACAAAAGAAGTTGTCATGATAATGAATGGGAAGGTTGTGAGAAAATATGTATATTGAGGAAAAAGGAAGGCAGAAGGAAAAATCCTGGGAAAATATATCAGAAATGCCCAGGAGGTAATTAACTGGGACAGTTAATAGCTTGTGATGGAAGAATTATTATTGCCGATAAGACTTGATGAGGTGTGCATAGAAAGCAGGAAACAAAAGTCTGGAGAAACCTGTTTTTTTAAATGGAAAGCAGATGAGACAGAATCCCTAAGACTGACATTCTTCTCACATGAGAATGGGTAGGAAGGGAAACAAGTTGGATTTTTTATTTCTGAACAGTCACTAAGTCCTGTGGATTCTTTTGCTGAAATAATTGTGGTTTCTGGGACAAGAAGGCAATGCACATGAGGAAGACATCAACTTGATTCTCAGGAAGACTTTTACATCAAGCTCTGGCAGTCTTTGATCAATTATTTTTGTGCCTGGGCCTCACTGGCTTCTAAAAGAAGCCCCACTGTGGGGGAACCCAGGGCTTATTCCAGTGCCTGGAAAGAAAAGGGGCATCTCCAAGTTCCTAGCTTTGGCCTCATGCTGGGGACAGGGAATTTTGTTTTTTGAAATTCAGTATATCCAGGTAATAAAGCAAGTCTATCTGCATCTGCAGGTTAAAATGAATCTCAGCAGAGATCAAAGTGTGGGGTAGTAGATGAAAAATTGCTCTTGTAAATTACAGCCTCTGGTACTTGAACTTCAACTTCTGAGTCAGATTTAATGATAATTAAATTTACTTACAGTGAAGTTCTAGAAAACAAGCCAGCTATTTTGTTTTTAATAGAAAGGCAACCAAATATAGAGCTAAGTGGCGAAGCTGAAGTGGAAAGAACTGGGGCAGAGAAAGGTTAGACAGGATAAAGGAGCTGTCAGTGGGAACAGAACAAAGTGTGGGATGTTGCAAAGTGGGTGGACATAATGGCAAAGGGATCGTAAAAATGACACTGGATGGAGCTCATAAGAAATGCTCTTGTTGAAAATCATGAGCTTCTGTCAAATGCTCAAGTTCATTCTCCTGAAAGGTCACTATTAGGCTAGCTCACTAGGAAAAATAAATAGACAGGGCAGATTGATTCAGTGTAGCGTGTGGTTTCATAGTCACTAAAGGTCACGTGGCTCAAGAACATTGATCGAAAGTGGTCCTTAGCTCAGACCGAGACTCACACTGCCTAAACCCACTGAAATCTCTAAACACCCCACATCCCACAACCCACATCCAGGTGCCCTTCAGAGCAAATGACTCTCCCGTGTGTCTGTCTTTCTGTGTAGAGAGCAGGTGGCCAAGAAGCACTGTGCTAATAACTGGTGGCACAGAAGTAAAGAGCTGTGTGTTTGGGCATGGCAGACTCTAGGGACAGGGAGAATTTAGACTGTTCCTGTCGAGAGACACTGTATCCATCAGAGATCTCTCCTTCGTTTTTATCTTCAACACCAAGGGAGTAGTAGATCAACCGTAGCCCCTGTCCTGGGTCTTGTCGATACCAGTACATTCGATTATCACTCCTAGTCTGAGAACATTCCAGCATAATCTTCTTTCCTGTCTTTGCGATCCTATTCCTTGGGGTCTGGGTAACACCAGCATCCATGGACCCTGTGGGGAAATAAGACAGAAACTGAAGACAGAGCCTGGTAAGTGTCCTCTTGCTGCTATCTCTAGGGAGAGGCTTAATCCAGAACCTGGAAAATGTAGGCAGTGATTTCCCCATCTGCTTTCCAAACTCACCTGTTCCCAGGAGACAAAAGGCCACACAGAAGAGGAGCAGGGAGGCCATGGCAGGGAGAGGCAGGATGGAGGTGTTTCCAGCTCTGGATGTTGATGGAAGCAGGGCAGGAAATAGAAAACTGGGAGGATTCAGGAAGTGATGTCATTGTCCCTCCCAAGGTACTGGCCTTAAAGAAAGATGCAACTTTGTCTTATATATTGTATGTTCTCAGCAGATGCTGAAACTCTTCTACTTGCTTCTCTTCTCTTTCTGGTGCTTTACTGACAACCACCAGAGAGTTGTTCGTCTCCCCTTCTCAGGGCATACCTATTTCAGCTGTTCAAGGAGAGATCATCCTCCTGACAAAACATACTGGAGAAAATTCAAAACCGGAGTCACTTGAATGATAGGATATTATAACTTGTCTCCTTTTTTTCTGCATTTAATCATTTATTCCAACTCAGTTTATGGTAAACTATGTAATTTGAATACATTCTCTATAAATTTTGAGACTTTTTTGTTTTAAGGAGGACAGGATTTCTAAATTTGTTTCAAATTGCTCCAATTTTTTAGTGGCTCCTGCTTTTCTGGTCAATGTTTTCTGAACTCAGAGCTTTATTGAAAATATTGGTTTCTTGTAGAAAGGTGTCAGTATAATGTGGGTATATGCTTCACAGAAGTACTCAACACCTTCATTCCTATTTTGAATTAGCTGAAAATGCTGTGGTTCATTAAACAATGGATTTTATCCTAACATATATTATTCCTGACTTTAGGAGGAAAGAGTTTAATATTTAATGCAGCAGATTGAAAGTACAGAACAGTTATAGTGATAGTGTGAAACCGTGTCTGATATAATAAACAACTGGCTCTTTGCTGCTTCAGATCTGCGCTTGTCCTGCTGAAGGAGGAGAGTTCCCTGACACCCCCTCAAAGGACTTGAGCTCATAAGAAATGCTCTTGTTGAAAATCATGAGCTTCTGTCAAATGCTCAAGTTCATTCCCTTGAAAGGTCACTACTGGGCTAGCTCACTAGGAAAAATAAATAGACAGGGTAGATTGATTTAGTGTAGCCTGTTGATTTATAGTCATCACATGGCTCGGGGACATTGATCCAAAGTGGTCCTTAGCTCAGACCGAGTCTCACACTGCCTAAGCCCACTGAAAGCTCTAAACACTCCACATCCCACAACCCACATCCAGGTGCCCTTCGGAGCAAACAGTTCACCTGTGTGTCTGTCTTTCTGTGTAGAGAGCAGGTGGCCAAGAAGCACTGTGCTAATAACTGGTGGCACAGAAGTAAAGAGCTGTGTGTTTGGGCATGGCAGACTCTAGGGACAGGGAGAATTTAGGCTGTTCCTGTCGAGAGACACTGTATCCATCAGAGATCTCTCCTTCGTTTTTATCTTCAACACCAAGGGAGTAGTAGATCAACTGTAGTCCCTGTCCTGGGTCTTGTCGATACCAGTACATTCGGTTATCGCCCCTAGTCTGAGAACATTCCAGCATAATCTTCTTTCCTGTCTTTGCGATCCTATTCCTTGGGGTCTGGGTAACACCAGCATCCATGGACCCTGTGGGGAAATAAGACAGAAACTGAAGACAGAGCCTGGTAAATGTCCTCTTGCTGTAATCTCTAGGGAGAGGCTTAATCCAGAACCTGGAAAATTTAAGGCAGTGATTTCCCCATCTGCTTCCCAAACTCACCTGTTCCCAGGAGACAAAAGGCCACACAGAAGAGGAGCAGGGAGGCCATGGCAGGGAGAGGCAGGATGGAGGTGTTTCCAGCTCTGGATGTTGATGGAAGCAGGGCAGGAAATAGAAAACTGGGAGGATTCAGGAAGTGATGTCATTGTCCCTCCCAAGGTACTGGCCTTAAAGAAAGATGCAACTTTGTCTTATGTATTGTATGTTCTCAGCAGATGCTGAAACTCTTCTACTTGCTTCTCTTCTCTTTCTGGTGCTTTACTGACAACCATCAGAGAGTTGTCTCTCCCCTTCTCAGGGCATACCTATTTCAGTTGTTCAAGGAGAGATCATCCTCCTGATAAAAACATACTGGGGAAAATTTAAAACCAAATTGAATTTCGAATAAAGAGAGTGTAGTCTCATTTGAATGATAGGACATTATAGCTCTTCTCCTTTTTTCTGCATTTAATCATTTATTCTAACTAAGTTCTTGGTAAACTGTACAGTTTGAATACATTCTCTGTAAAGTTTGAGACTTTTTTGTTTGTTTTAAGGAGGACAGAATTCCTAACTTTGTTTCAAATTGCTCAAATTTTTTGGTGACTCCTGCTTTTCTGGTCAATGTGTTCTGGGCACAGAGCTTTTTAAAAATACTAATTTGTTGTAGAAAGGTGTTAGTATGGGGGTATGTGTTTCAAAGAAGTACTCAACACATTCATTCCTATTTTGAATTAGCTGAAAATACAATGGTTCATTAAAAAATTGATTTTATCCTAACGTATATTATTCCTGACTTTAGGAGGAAAGAGCTTAATATTTAATGCAGCAGATTGCAAGTACAGAACAGCTATAGTGATAGCGTGAAAACTCTTCTGATGTAATAAGCAACTGGCTCTTTGCTGCTTCAGATCTGCACTTGTCCTGGGGAAGCAGGAGAGTTCCCTGACCGCCCTCGAAGTGACACAGGAGTGTCACTCACTTCTTTGATTGTTGCAGCTGCTCAAACCCTTGAGGGGAGAGGGAGCACGCAGATGGACAGGTGCAGGAGCCCAAGTGGGCTGATAGCCCTGCCATCTGTGCACAGCTCACGTGTTAACTAGCTCAGTGGACCCTCTGCTTTTTCTCAAGGGCAGTGGGCCACTGTGACAGCTTTCTGTATCCTGAGCTCTTGGTCAGCATCCTGGAAGAATTGGGTCATACACGGGCTTGAAGGATGAGTGTGAGGTTTTACTGAGTGTGGAACTGGCTCTCAGGGGAATGGATGGGGAGCTGGAAGGGGGGATGGAGTGAGAAGATGATCTTCCCCTTGGAGTCTGGCCATCCAGGGGCCAAACTCTTCTCTTACCACCCCCAGCTGAACTCCTCTTGGGGTTCAGACATTCCTTCACTTCTCTTTCTTTCTGCCACGTCATTCCACCTTCTGTCTGCTTGTCTCCTCGTCTCCTCGCCTGCTCATCTGCCTCTGAAGCCTGGGGTTCGGGATTTATATGGGTACAGGAAAGGGAGCATCGCAGGCCAAAAGACAAATTTTGGAACATGAAAACAGGAATGCCTGTCCCACTTACAGCTACGGGTCTCCAGGCTTCAGGGTGGGGCCTTTGCCAGGAAGCCACCCTCTTCTACCCAATATTTCTGCCTCCTGCCCGTATCACTCGCCCTCCCTCATGCATGGGTGTACCATGGCACCCTACTCTAATCATTACTGCTGCATGCCAAATTGGTAAAGTCTTATTTTTAGCTATTTTTACTTTTAATTCTAAAAATCTCAAACATTTACAAAGAAGGCTTAGAAAATAATAAGCCTTTGTGTCCCCACTGAGGCATCATTGGTAATTGCCAACTCCTCATGGCCTCTCCTGTTCATCTACCACCTCCTTCACCGCTTCTCCCTCTCCTGTTATTTTGAATAGTTGTTGCTTTATTTAGGAGTACCCAAGTACATTTTACAGCCATTGCCTATACTCCAGATGACATATTCCAGTGTCCTCTCCCTTCTTTTCTTTCTGGTTAGAGTTCTCCATTAGCAATATGAATAAAAATGTGGATTTGTTCCCATAAATTGCTTATCCAGGGGTCTCATGAATATAAACAAGATAATGATCATAAGAACTTTTATTTTGGGTTCATCTTCAATGTAAAAAAACAAACAAACAAACAAACAAAAAACATTGCCCTTATTTGCAATTCTGAAAGTAAACGTGCTGTTTTGCTGCCCCCTGCTGTGGGCAGTAATTTGAGTGGAATTAATATTTGGGAGCTGAATATAAACTATTATTGGTGATCACGTTGGTTGAGAGAGGACTCATATCCAGTGGCTGAGAGAACCAATTTTTGCGGGATTTCTAACAGAAGTTTGTAGGTACCCAGAAAGGAAAGGAGAAGCAGAAATCATTCTGGGAGCAGAATCTATGCCCGAGGAGGAGTGAGTGAGTGCTATCAGAGGAATGATTGGAAGAGACACACAACTAGGCCGGAATGAAATTGAAAAAGGCATTCCAATTTCTGGACAAATGAGAGGTTCTTCAAGGCACAGGCCAATAAATATTCTCTACTCCGGGCTGGCTCACATACCTCTCAAATTGTATTTATAATCCACTTTCACTCTGACGTGTCCTCTATCACAGGCAGAACACAGGCCTCTCGGTCTTACCCACATACCATGTCCATCTGTGTGCTGTGCATGTGTACGTGGTTCTAAGGATTGTTGCACCCCTCATTCCGTGTTATTGATCTGTATAACACACATCCTCTGGCACAAAGGCTGTCAAAGGAGAAATAATTTTATTTCTTTACTATTGCTTAGAGATGTTGGTGTCCTAAGAGAATTTTTGCCTACTCTCAACTCACAAAGATGTTTTTCTATATTTTCTTCTAGAATATTTGTAGTTTCAGCTTTTATAATTATATCTATGAGACATCTCCATTTAATTTTCATTTATGGTGGTAGGTGATAGTAAAGCTTCATTTTTTTTCCCCATAGATTATCCAGCTTTTCCAATATACTTGTTGAGAATTACCATCTTAATGCATTGAAACTTCCAATCCATAAACATGATATATCTCTCCATTTAAAAATGTTTTCTTTAGTTTCCCTTCATGAAGTTTTGTAGTTTTTAATTGAAAATTCATTGCTACATTTGTTCTTATGTAATTTATTATTGGTACTACTGTAAATAGTATAATTTTCTGAAGTTTGTGTTTCAATTGTTTGCAACTAGTAAAAAAAATTTTATTTTTAAAATACTGATGTATCCTGTGATATTGGTAAATTCACTAATTATTTCTAGTTATTTTTCCTTGATTTCTTATGATTTTTTTTATGTAAACAGTCATGTAATCTGCAAATAATTGTAGTTTTACTTCTTCCTTTTCAATATTTAAAACTTTTATTTTATTTTTGTTGCCTTATCATGCTGGTTAAGATCTCCAATATAATATTGAATAAAAAGAGTGAGAAGCTTAGCACAATGATCTCGTAAGCTCAAGAACTCAAGTCCTGCCTGGGCAATATAGTGAGACCTCATCTACAATTAAAATAAGGTTGAAAGTAATGAGAAAACTTAATGGCTTGTGTCTTATTATAGGAGGAAAGTGCCTAACACACTATTAAATCAGTTGTTATTTGTAACTTTTTCATTTATAACTTTAATCAGGTTGAGAAAATTGTTTTACCAGTTTACTGGGAGTGTTTCTTTTGAGTAAGTATGGATTTTGTCAAAGGTTTCTCTGCATCGATTGAGAT